TGTGGCTGGAGTCCGTCACCGCTCCGGGGGACGCGCTTCCAGCAGTCGTTATAAGCTATTTGGGGAGACTCCGGGTTTTGGTGACTCAGCGCGGTGAGCGCTATTTATAAGTTGGTGCTTTACTAGCAGGGAAATACACTTTGCTCAGATCCGTCCGCCCAAGAAATTGGAAGAGCTCCCTTACGAGGCAACAAAAGACAACTTTTCTGAAAGAGGAGACTTTCGACTTTTAGAGCCTGTGCTGTAAGGCATAGGAGGTCTCACCAAAAGACTAGTCAGAACACGGTTTATCTCAAAAAGTTGGTCATCTTCCAGGGTAGATGGAGAATTTTAGAGATACATCATGATGGTAGACTGCCTTTTTTTTGAGTGGTGGTGGCGTGAACCAGGAGCAATAATTCAGATAAATGACCCAGCAGTCCTCCTAGTAAATCGCAGAATATCAGAACTGCGTTATTACAGTATTTGTAAAAATACATTAAACTATGTGGTGGCTAGGCATAAAATAAAGGAAAACCAGACGGTATTGGAAATTTCTATACAATATTCTGTAACAGGAAGGTGTGTGGTATTTCTCATCAAAAAATCTGCTGGCAACTATAAATGACGTGTTCACCGCCCAGTTTCTCCCTCCCAAGAAAACACTACAAAAATGTACTGTATATTCAGCCCGAGGTTCTTCTACAGTGTGTAAGTGCTGCACAAACAATTTTCAGTCAGTGTTTGTTTTACTGGCATTACTTTGTGGTTTTCTCTTCTCTCCCTATCCCGCCCCCCCCCCCCCCCGCCCCGCCCCGCCCCGCCCAAGTTTGTAAATCCGGCAGGTAGAAGCTAAGAGAAAGCAATTGCTAGGCTGGCTTCAGGGAGGCAAGAGTTAACACCTTGCCTAGCCTGCACAGCCTTCTGTAGGTAGCACGACCTCAGGTGTTTCTTGAAACAAAGAAGGTAGTTTCCTTGATGGCTAAAGCCAGGTCAACTAAGCAGAGAGGAAGGGGCATCTCAAGCTGAGCAAGCATGGCAGCATGTGCAAAGGCCTGTGGTGAAGAACTACAGCCAGCAAAGGATGGGTGGGGGGGGGGGGGAGTGAAGAGGGGGTTGAGAAAGGAAGCTGGATGGATGGCCAGGTTATCCAGGGCTTTATATTCCATGCTGAAGAGTTTGGACTTTAGCGTGAGACCTACAAGTTTTAGCCTTTTTGGGGACACATACCCTTTTGAGAATCTATGGAAAGCAATGTGGTCTCTCTTCAGAAAAATGCACCTCTAGATCTATACTAAAATTTTGCAGACAATTTCTCGGGGTTTACTCTGCTTTGTGAGTAAATGACTATTGGGCCTCAGGATTAAAACCTATAGGAAATGGAGAATCACGAAAAGGTTTTTTTAAATGGAAAAGCAAGCTCAAGTGTAGAAAGGTTACATGTCTTTGAAAAGATGACACTGGTTGGGTCCAGGAGACTGGAAGACGGAATATAAGACAGTCTGTGATCTAAATAAGGATGGATGAGGACCACTGCTGTGTACCTAGTGGCAGTGGTGATAGAGGGAAGAGGGATTCAAGAAAAGTAATTTAAAACGAGTGAGTGGAATGGGAAATTGACTGGCAGTGTAGGGCAGGGGCAAGAGCAAGGGATTGCCAGATTTCTGGTCTAGGGTGTGAACTGGTAGGAGGAGTGGGCCTCAGGTCCAGGAGGAGGAACTCCGTTTTGTCCCTCTAGAATTTGAGGTATCAGGGAACTATCCCAGGAAGGTTGGAAGTAAGGTCTGGCTCTTGAGAGTCCTTAAAATGTAGGTGCCGAATGGATCAGATGGACCACAAAGTGTATCAAGTGAGCAGAGGTCTGAGAACCAGAACCCTGGGAAACGCCCATCTTTAGGGGAAGAGGAGGAGCAAGAGGAGGCTTTGAAGGACAGTAGTGAGTGAGTAAAGACAGAGTGGTGTCCCTAGCGTATATAACTTAGATTAGTAAATCCTGCTTCCTTTATAAGGAATGAAAGCATGTTGCTGGTTTGGTCCCTTTATAAGATTGAAGAGGCTGTGTACTCCTTCAGTGGCAAAGAAAGCACCTTTCCAAAAATTCAAATTCAGAAGGGAGATGAGGGCAGGAGAGGATTAAATCTTGCTTTCCCCTCTTTTTTGAAACCAGGGATACCTACGGGAAAAGAGAAGAGAAATGGAGGGAATCAAGCTTTCTCTTTTCTCTGCTCAGCCACTAAGCCTTTAAGGAAAAGGAGTCCGGATAGACTGGGTCCCCAAGATGGTGTTTTTGTCCCTCTAGCACTTCAAAACCCCACTTAATCTTTAGTACTAGGAGCTGCTAGAATCTCAGTCTGGCTAAGGAAACAAGGAAAGCTTGAGGAAAAGGGTTTTCCTTTGCTTCCTCCTCCTACTTGTTACAGCCATCCTAAGCTAGGACTGTACTCAGTACAGAGCACACTACCCCAGCACTTAGTGGTTTAAAACAACAACAGTGTTACTTTACTCATGAATATGCAATTTGGGTAGGGCTCTGCAGGGACAGCTCATTTCTAATCCACTTGGCGTCAGCTGGGGCAGCTCGAAGGCTGGAGGCTTGCATCATCTGAAGACTTGTTCACTTGCGTGTCTAGCCATTGGTACTGACTGACGGCTGGGACCTCAACTGGGGCTAACAGCCCAGACACCTACACCTGCCTGCTTCTTGTGGTCTCAGCTTCCTCACAACAGGCTTGTTGGGCTCAAACAGTCCTAAGACCCAGAGCCAGGGAAGCTGTATCACCTTTTATGACCTAATCTTAGAAGTCATGTAGCATCTTATCCCTCACATTCTATATGTTAGAGGCAAATCACTGACACCATACATATTCTAGAGAGGGGAGTTAGACTCTCCCTTTTAATGGGAGGAGTGTCAGAGAATTTGCAATGTTTAAAACCATCACACATTAACTTCAGATAAATAGATTTATAAACAATATGCTGTATATTAAACATAAGAAACCAAATAAATATCCTCTTTTTTATATTAGAACGCAATATAAAAACCCAAATGTTTCATTGTTACAGCAAAGCGAATCCTGAGCCAATCTGAGTAGGCAGTTTGTCTTATAATCGGGATTACCCTCTTCTTCTCCCTCATGACCCTTCCCTCCCCTCCAGCTCAGGCCTCCTGTACACAGACACCTCTCTCTCCCAAGCTAGGCAGGATCCCCACAGTGGCTATACCTCCAGGGCCATGATCAGGCCCTAAAAGTTTTTTCTGTTTCCTCTTTGAATTGTCCCTGACTTTGGACCTCACTAGATCAGTGGCAAAGCCATCAATGACATGTCCTTACTTCTCAGAGTTAAAAAGCAAAATGCTATGAAGATTATTCCAACAAGTAATTTTAGAATAAATTGTACATAATTAAAATGATATTTCTAAAAAAGGGCTATATGTTTTTAGATGTCAGGATCTTTACTTGGGTTTGTTTATTCATAACACTCAGTAATTCTAAAGGGATGGTTGAGATTTTAGGGATTTTATAAGAATTTGCATGTTTCCTTGAAGGTGATATATACACTTATTATTACAATACAGAATCTAAATGACTCTTCTCCCATTTTTACAATGCACATTGCATTATTTTTCTTTAAAACCAGTACACATAGTTTTTAGTACACATTATTTGGTTGGTAAAGGGGCTCAAGAATCATTTTTTTAAGGAACTGAAAATACCACCTTTCTCTGAGTAATCAAGATTAAGTAATATTTTCTTATAACCTAGTATATTTTTAAATTCTCCTAAAGCTGATATTATTATAATTTATACATCTTTGATGTTCTCTTAGAAAGACTTCCTCTATGACTTAGAAATAGTGCTTAGGCCATTTTAATAACATACTCCCCTAAAGGCTGTCTAATACCTCTACAGTTTTGATAATTTTTGCATAATTGTTCACAGTTATACTGAGTCAAAATCACACTGTGAATTCATACTATAGAATACAGATTTTAAAATAAGTACATCTAGATAATGAGCAAATGTACACTTATGAACTCTATTTTTTTGTGTGTATTTCTTAATGATTTTTGAAGTAGCATGCTTTTTAAAAAAAATAAAATGACTTAAGTATATCTTTGTTTTTGAAGTTTCTTATATAGCAATGATTTTAAAAAAACTGACACAGTGTTCACGTTAAACTGACAGACTTTGTTATCAGGGCCCAAACTGTTCCTAATTCTCTGTGACTTCATAGCTACCATGGAGGCAGCCCAAAGGAGCTTAAGTAAACACTTTTAAATTACGTAATGCAGTTCTCAAGGAACAACCCCAGCCAAACTGTGCCATATAGTTTTACAGATGCTATTTTTCTGTTATGCCAGAATACTTATTACCCTATCTATAGAATGACTTCATAGTAAGGATAACATGAAAGAAAACTGGAAGTGGGCCAGTCTGTTTCTAGGCATTCTGAATGAAGGCAGGGTTGAGGAAATTATTTCAAAGTAGTTATCTAGTGAATGTTTTTCTGAAGCTTATAAACTAAGCATTTTGGAAAGTGCTGTAGTGAAAATGGTACAGTAAGCCATAAATTCAATATGATTTCAATAAAGAGATTCGACAAAAAATATATTGCTAGCTGATAGTAGTAATGCTGTGTCTACTACTACATGAAGAACTAAATACAGTCATACATTTTATTAAGTAAAATAATTTGGATCCTTTATGTTATTTTTCTTCACCTTTCTATGTATTCAAAAAATAACTTATTTTTAAAGAAATATTGCCAAAGTCAATAAAAAAGATATATTCTTCAACATGTTGGCAAGGCTCTATGTTAAGCATCATGGAGAAGACAAAGAATTATAAGTCCTTGAGGTAGTAAAGTTATTAATATGAGTATATCAGCAAAAATGCAACTTTATCAAATTAAATTACAGAAAGAATCTCCCCATCAGATTGACAAAGATTGAAAATAAGTGTTAATAGCTAGTGTTGCTAAGAATGCAATGAAATTTATAATCTCATCTATTATATTACCTTTCTGGGGTCTTAAAAACATCCAAATCTTTGATACAGTAGTTCCACTTCCAGGAACCAATCCTAAAGAAATAATCAAATATGAAGTCAAAGATTGATATATATTCATCACAGCATCTATACAGAGGAACCAATCTGAATATTCAATAATAAAGGAGTGGTTAAATAAACCATGGTGCAATAATCTAATGGAATATTATGGAACTAATAAAAATATTTAATGCCACAGAGAAATACTAATATTTAATTTAATGTACACTTAAATTTTTAGTTTATAAAACTATTTCTCCTCATTTATTTAAAAATACATTTATTTATATGTATAGAAAAAGGGTAGGGAAAAATATACTGAAGTCTGTTATGTGATTATGGTAATTTTTACCTTATTTTTCATATTTTCTAAAATGAGCACATATTATTTTATTTATTTTTTCTTTTTTTATCTTTTTTTTTTTCCTGCTTTTTTCTCCCCAAATCCTCCCAGTACACAGTTGTATATTTTAGTTGTGGTCCTTCTGGTTGTGGCATGTGGGACACCGCCTCCACATGGCCTGATGAGCAGTGCCATGTCCTCGCCCAGGATGTGAACCCTGGACCGCCAAAGCGGGGCACGCGAACTTAACCACTCTGCCACAGGGCCAGCCTCAAGCACATATTATTTTAACAGTCAGAAAAAAATCGTTAAAATTAAAAGGTTTCCTCTCAAATATGTAAAAAATGACATACATTTACATTTTTTACAACACCAGGGTATTTAATAAAGTAACACAACATATTACTTACTTTTTATAAGTACCTTTTCATTTTGCCTACTTGTAACAGTGTCTGCCAGTGAATAATCTCTGCTTTCTAAAATTAAAGTAGATAAGGTGTAGGCAAGTACGGAGAATTTATTATGCGAAGGGTATAATTTGAGGTGTAGCCTTTGGTGGAAAAGTTGATTTGAGGAAAATTTGGTAGAGTCAAATGTAATGGCTGTAATGGCTGTATCTATTTTGTAAGTTTTATAACTGTATTTTATATTTCTTGTATTTTTAATTGTGGTAAAAAACACATAACATGAACCTTACCATCTTAATCATTTAAAAATGTACAGTTCAGTAGTAGTAAGTATATTCACATTGTCATGTATAATAGTATTTTAAGGATAGTGTTTTTATTGGTTTCATAAAAACAATACATGTTCATTTATAAATAATTCAAACAATATAAAGTTACAGGAAAATTTTTATATCTCCTCAGATCTCAGATTTTACCATTAATATTAAATGAACATCATGGTAGGTATATATGCATTTATACACATAAGATAATCTTATTTAAGATTAGAACAAGTATACTACTTTTAAATAAGAAAGTATTACATTTAAAATTATTTGAATTTGGTAGTAGTAAGATAAGCTGAAGGAATTGATGAACTTTTAGAAAAATGTTTGTCTGCCACAAGAGATCTTATTTCCGAATATCCGAAGTTCAAAACATTAAGAGTTTGGAGACTTATTTTATCAGTGTGTTTCAAATTTAGAAATGCCCAAAGACTCTGCTATGAAAAATGTATATTTATTGGTTATATCATTATTTTTACAAAGTCAGTGTTTTAAGGTTTATTCTGTTTTGTAACCCTAATTCCTTTGGTCATTTGGTCTTGATCTGTATTTTAAAATCCAGTGGTCACAACATGCCTTGATTCACAATATTCTAATTATTAATTTTGTTTCATCACTTAGTTATCTGCTCTTTGCTAAGTAGTTTTGGGGTTTTTTTTCCTACACGGATTCATGGATGCTATGTTTGTCTTTTTCGTCAATTCTTAATGACACTTATTTAGATATAATAGTTTGAGGTCATACTGGCTTTGCCTTAAAACTGTGTAGACATTTTTCCTTTGTTTTCTGGCTTTGAATATTGCTTAGAGGAAGTCTAAGACCAGCATGACGTCCGCCCTCTTACAAGTTATTTAGTTTTCTGCCTAGTGGTATGAAAAGTTTTTCCTTCATTTTTTATGGTTAATAGCCTAACTAGGATATGCCTCAATATTGAATACTGTGTCCATTTTTCTTTGAACATTTTATTCTGCAGATTCAGTTCTTTCATTATTTTGTGGAAATTCTCTTCTATTACATCTTTAAGTGCTTTTTCTGATTCATTTGTTGCATTATGTATTCAGGGAGATGAATCAAGCTATACTGTCTTTGTCTCACTTGCATATTGTTATTTGCAAATACTTTGGTCTACTTCTGCCTTCACTGCAATTTATTAAATTCACTTGTCAACTGGAGTTTATTAAGTGCCAGCCCTAGTGGTAAATAAGATCATTTCCCTACCTTTATGAAGCTATGAAACTTTTTAGTTGAGGGTGGGGGAGGGAGAAATAAATTTAGAATGTCAGGTAGTGATAATAAGAAATCCAGGTAAGGAAATGGATAGGTGGGGGAAGGAATCGTGCATTTTAGAGAGAGTGGCGAGAGCAGGCCTCTCTAAGATAACATTTGAGAAGAGATCTGAATGAAGTGAGGCAGTGAGCTAGGTAAAGACCTGGGCAATCCAGACATAGAGGAAAGCAAGTACAAAGGCTCTGCTGTGGGAAAGTGGTGTGTTCAAGACAGAATGATTAGAGCCACGTGAGTAACCAGCAAGTGGTGAGAGATGAGACTAGAGAAGTGGATAGGCCAGATCACAAAAGAGTTTGTATGCCCTGGTAAGGAGTCTGAATTTTGTTTTAAATGTGATGAGGAGCAAGGGGATGGTATATGCTTTAGAGGAGTTACTTGGCTGCTGCTAAGTATTTCAACAGCAATAACTGAGTATAAAGAATTGGTTAAATAGGTGTTGTAAAACTGAAAATGCAAAAAAGGGAGCACTGACATAACAGGGTAACTTCAGGAAGCAGCTACTACCCCTAGTACCAGATAAACATGGGGAACACCTGAAGTTATCAGAACCCAGAAGCTCAGAGGGAACATTCGGCAGAGCTGGACCCATGACCTCAGGGCAGGGGGTGCTGCCAATTTGCTGCTGGTACCTCTGAGAGGGTACCTTGGGGCTGATTCTAGGAGAGTGGAAAATAGTTGAAATTTTGAGCTAAGTGCCACTGTCAGGGTGAAGGTCCGTGACTGGGGCAACCCTGACAAGTGAAGAAAACCAAAAAGCAAGTTCTTTGTCCCCTCTTCCTGACTTTTAGTCTTTCTCTAGGGCCTCTTATTGACAGATCATAGCAGGGATTCAGCTGACAAAGAAGAAATGTAGTTGGCAGAATCCCAGTTCCAGCATCACAGAGTATGGAAGGGTTTATTGCTAAGAGATAACAGCTTAAGAACTGGCACACAGAGGAATTAGGGATGATTTCTAGGTTTCTGCCTTGAGCAAATAATGTCACTTATTGAATGGGGAAAGACTTGGGGAGAAGTAAATTGAGGGGGAGAAGAAAATCAAGAGATTTGTTTTGAATGTGTTAATGTTGAGGTCCTTATTAGACATCTAAGTGTAGTTCCTGGGCAGGCAGTTGGATATGAGTTTGGAGCTCAACAGAGGTATCTGGGATAGAATACAAATTTTAGGAGTCCTAAGATCACAGGCAACATTTTAAACCAAAAAGACTGGATGAGATGACCTAGGGGGAAATGAATGTTGATGGAGAAGAAAAAAAGGGTGAGGAATATGCCTGGGTGTCCCAAACATTTGGGAAGAGGAAAAGTATCTGGCAAGAAGGTAGTCAGTGATCTCAACAAGAGCCGTTTACGTGGAGCTGTAGAGAGAATACTAATTGGAATGGATTGAAGAGATAATGTAAGGTGAGGAAGTGGAAACTGCAAGTATAGACAATCTTTGAAAAGTTTTGTTATAAAGGAGAGCAGAAAAATGGGCTCCTACTCACCCTTTAAGTAGAGGGGGATAGGAGATCTAGCGTGATGGTATTTTTAGTATGGGAAATACTACAGTAAGTGTTCTTGTTAGAATAATCTAGTAAAGAGGGAGAAATTGAGGATCCAGGTAATGAAGGGGATACTCACAAGAACGCAATCCTTGACTCTACAAGAAAAGATGGGATCCGGGGCACAAGTAGAGGGGCTTGCCTTAGCTCAGAGCAGGGACAGCTGATCCTTTATAAAGGAAGAGAGAGTATATATGGGTACAGATGAAGGTAGGTCGGTAGACAGGGTGTGGGAAGGATAAGTTTCTCTTGTGACAGTTCCTATTTATCCATAAAACAAGACTGAGGTGAGGCACAGGGAGATGTGGAAGATTCAGGAGAGAAGAGATGAGGCGTAATCATCTTGGTGAAAAGAAGAAGGAATTGACTAGGGGAATGTGCTGGGATTGCCAGTCTTTCTTTTTGGTGAGAATTTGATTTCTAGCCATGTCTGTTTCATTTCTTGCTGTTCCAAATTTATTTATTTTGAAATAACAGTATTATTTTGGCCTTTGCTGGCTTAGGTTGTGGACATTTTCTTTTTCTGGCTGCTTCTAGTAATGTTTTTAAAGGAGTTTTTACTGTTAAGTTTTCCCGTTTTGTGAGGTATTTGGGGAGGAAGATTTTGTGGTCTGCCTTCACTCATCTTTATCTGGAAGTCTAGAATAATGTTTTTAAATAGATTGTACTTCATATTTTTTCCGGTTCATCCCATATATAGGAATATAACAGATAAGAAGTCATAGTAATATTATATATTCTCAGAATAGCCACCCTTTACTGAATGCCTATGTGCAATGTACTATGCCAGGCACTTTACATATGTCATCACTAAAACTTCTAACAACCCTACCAGGTAAATATTGTTGCCAGTTATTTCCACAAGAAACATTTTAAGAGATGATGTCAGATCACAGAATCTTACATGAAGCTCACAGCTGGCCAAAACAAACAAGGTAAGAACAAATTTTTCTCTCCTTTCTATTTGTAAAAAATTAGCACTTAAGAGACTGTTCGTTCTTTTTGAAGTACAAAATAATAGTTTGCAAAAGTGAATCACTCAGCACAATTTTATGGACAGCTTTTTGACATCATACTGTATCATTAAACTCTTGTTGGGAGAGTTGCTAACTGACAGATTCAAGGAACTTAATAAATTAATTCAGGTATCCCCTCTCCAACCATCTCCATCATAAATGAACATACTGAGAGCTTGCTAGGTCAAAATAATTAGTAAATTATACTAAACCATAATTTTACAAGTTATAGGATATGTATCAGTGTTTGTTTTGGAAACTCCATTATTTGGATTTAAATAATACCAAATTTTTCTTTTGGTTAACAATATTTATATTCATGTGATGATACTGAACACATATCATTGGGACATAAACACATGTCTGTCACAAGTAATGGATTTCTTTTTCTGACTATAAAAGTAGTACATGTAAGTGAAGAAGATTTTGAAAACATGTTTAAATAAAATAAAGAAGAGATTTCTTAAAAGGACAGCAGGAAAAACTAACCACTAATTCCTTTATTTAGAGGCAACTGACTGTTGGCTGTAGACTTATTTCCATGCAGTTTTTTAAGCTTATGAAGTTCAAACTGTTTGCTTGAGTACACTGCCTTTTTTCATAACAATTTATCAGAAATGTTTCCTCAAGTTATTTAAAACTCTTCAAAAACATTTTCAATGGCTGCATAATGTTCCTTGTATGGAGTACTATTTCCTTAAGTGGTCACTTAAGCTGTTTTCCTTACTTTCCTATGAATAATGTTGCTATGAACTTTTTTATGCATAACTCTGTTGCAGCATTTCAGATTATTTCCTAAATTAGGATAAATTCCTAGAAATGGGCTAATAGGCCAACATTTTTAAACTTCTTCATCTGGTAAAGATTTTGCTGTAACAAAATAAATATCTATTTTAATTCCTACATACTTTTATATTGAAGGAAATCTAAGGAGAAAAATTTATGTGGACTACCTTTTAAAACTGAGATTATTATTTAAATTTAAGCTCAGTGTTTTTGTTTTGTTTTGTTTTGTTTTAATATCCTGCCTTTAAGGAAAAATCCACTCTTCAAAATATTATTTACTTCTTTTTGTCAGGTTTGCAATTTACACTTAATTTGAGGATGTAAGTTTACATGTATACTTATTTCAGCCGAATCTTTCTATTTTTCAAGGCATTGCTTCTCTTTTATCCTATTTCTAAATATGTTCATCCAATAGTGTTGCCTCCTGACTCATCATCAGTTTATTCTCACATAGAAACCACTAATTCTTGGTATAAGTGCACACATTCATCTGTGGATAAAAATCTAAATAAAATTACAGGCCAAGGTCATTCCCAAACTTTGTGAATTTGCACAAGTTTTAAGAGTGCCTAAATTAATATTACAAAACAGTTTAATTGTGCTGGACTGAAATACAAAGCATATGAATAACAGAGCAGGTTCGCCCAATCCTAAAATTAATTTTGAATGCTAATGGAATCACAAAATTTGGGAAAACATCCAGGAGAAGTCTAGTCAAAGTAAATAAAGGACTACTGCTTTTTAGTAGCTATCATTTATTAATTCACTCACTAAATACTTATTGAACATCTTTTAAGTGTCAAACACTTGCTAGGTGCTGGAGTCAACAAAAAAAGATACAGGCCTAGCCCCCCCCACCCCCGAAGATACATTCTATTGGAAGGGATAGACCAAAGCAAATGAATACATAAATAAAACAGTTATATAAGTGGTAATCTAGTCACTTATGTGAGACACAGAAATGATTTAGGTTCTCCTCCAAGAATTTTTAAAGTTGTAATGTGTGAGAAAAAATTTAAAGATTTAGAATTATTAGGAAATATAAACAGATGATCTCTACAGATATTTTATGACTCTGATTATTATCATTCCCTTGTGTCCTGTACTCGTCCTCTCCAAAAAAAAGGATAGTCTAGGATAAAGTTCATATTTGTTGGCCTAACCTTCAATACTCTATAATCTGGTCTGACCCAAACTCAGACATAGCATGTTGTAATAGAAAATAAAATGTGCCAAATTTGGGGACTGGAAAGGAAACCTGGGTTTTAGCAAGTGGCAATGTTGGGATTGAGACCTTAGGTGAGACATTTAATTTTCCAGTGTCAGTTTCCTTTGCAAAATGATGAATTTTGACTACGTGATCTCAGAAATTCCTTCAGGCTTTAAAATTCACTGTCTATGCATCTCTCCTTAAAACATTTCTTCCATTATTCTCCTATTTATATTTGGGGTGGGGAGGAAATGGCATGAGGAAGAGTACAGAAGTTGGGAAGAATAAGATTGATTCCTGTTTGATAGGAATAAAGGATTTATAGTTTATAATGATAATTTTCTCATGTTATTTAATATTATTGAAAACATGTTTTTAATATCTGCATAACATTCCAATATAAGGATATACCAAAACTTATTTATCCAGCTCTTCATTTTAAAGATTGTTTCCCAATTTCTGCAATTACGTAAAGCTATTTTAGAATTCAACACGTGTCTATTAGTACTCAAAATACTATTGCAGGCTCTCTTCTTTCTTGTTCCCTTTGTGGAAAAAAAAAAAGTTACTGCAATTCTTCTTCGTATCTACTCCAGCCTATACATGGCCTGCTCTTAATATAAAAATTCCACTTGGAACAATGTTATAGAGCCTGTCCTTTCTCCTTTCTAAAACAGTATCATCCCTGAGTGAGGTCCATATTTCTGCAGCTCTCCTGCAGCAAAAGAATTTGAGTTAAAGCCAATTCCATGTCTGGATGATATATATTGTAGCTTTAACCCAAGTTGAAATCTATGAAATTAAAATCCCACTAGCAGACAAACAGGCAAAGATTCATTTCTGTCAGCTAAACCAAAAATGTGATGTAGCACTAAGTCCCACATGGATAGATGACTTAGTTAACTATGACAAAAATAACTATGACTTTGGAGATTTTGTCATGATGCTGAACTTGCTTTAGTATTAATTGTTACTGCACTGAATTTTTAGAGCATAAGTATACAATTAGGAGAAGTAAAATTTAAGGTTTTAAATGCTAAATTCAGTGAACAACAATCTATTTAGTTTTTTACTTTTTTGTAATACAGTATATTATTTCAATAGATATCACCTTCTGCCTTAGCTTGGATGCTTCTCCACCTCCTGTGTAAAGAAATCAGAGGTGACACACCACTTTAAAATTGCTCAAAAAAATGTCCTGAGTGAGTTAAAAATCTTTTCAACTTAATAGTTTTTGTTTGGGAGAAGAGAAGAACCTCTGTTGGGCGTCTTTGTAAATTGGTGCAAGCTAAATATCTTTTTTAAAACTTCAAGTTACTATTAAGCACCTCTGTAGTATCAATTTGGAATCCAAAGGAACACTCAACAGTAACACTTATTTCTACCAATACCTATAGACATTATAGTCATAGATGGTAGAATTTTAGTCATGGGATCTTTGAGATCATATAATCCAACTCTCACTTTATAGATGAGCTAAGTGAAGCCCAGAAAAGTTTTTATTACTCATAGCAGTAAGTGTGTGTGAGGGGTGGGGGCTCCTAACAATCTCCTAATGCCAGAGGGTAATAGGTTAGAAGAAGAGTATGTAGCTAACACAGTTGAAGGAATCCAAAAAAGAGATCTGATTTGGACCCTAAGTATACATTTTCCCCTTAAGATTCTTGCTGGATGATCCATTCCACCTTAACCTGTTACCACAGATACAAAAGGGAAGTGCCTTTACACAAATGATGCTCATATGCAGTAAAACCCAAGAGAGAGGTTGGAGTTTAGTATGGCAGAGCTACATCACTGCACAACTCTGGGCGGAACATTTATATATACCCATACGTATACATACCTGTAGCCTCTTAACTGCTTCAGGAAATTCCATTTACATGCATACAATGTAAATGGTGCTCTCTGGAGTTGTGCATCATAGGGACACTGCAAATATAAGTTTTGTATATTGAATTAATTAGGATAGGCTAATTGCCATAACAGATTAACCCCCAAATGTATAATGGCTCCAATTTGTTTCTTGCTAAAATGAACAAGTAGTTCAATAATATTTACGTTTCCAAGGTCTTTCAGTACCTAGGCTTTCAGTACCAAACTTCCAAAGTCTCCCTGGGGGTCTTCTCTACTTCAGTCTGCTGGAAGGAGAGTTTTCTAGGGGAGGGGACTCAAAGTAGTGCATACTTATTCCATTAGCTGTGACTTAGTCGTATGCCCACAGCTAACTGCAAGGGGGGCGGGGAAAAAGGTTATCTGTTTGGCCAAGAAGTGAGGACATGGATTTTCATGTCTAGCTAGCAGTCATTGCTCACTTGGGCGCTCGCTCTCTCTACACACACACACACACACACACACACACACACACTCTGAAGTCACCGAAAAATAAACTGACATAATTATGCTTCAATTAGAACAAGTTAATAGAGAAAGGGGCTTTTATTTAAAAACTGTATTCACATCTACCCTTTCCCTCCTTCAGGTGAAATTGTTAATTAATGCATAACAATAGACAACTGAAATCACAAAATGAGGGAAAAAAGCAAATTTTTGCAAGCATTGCCTTTACATATATGTATTAGAGGAGGTTTGGCTTGGTTTTTTTATTCCATAAACTAGTCAAATTCAGAACTAAGATTCATGTCTGGTTGCTTGTTTTAGGGGCACAAGGCTATTAAGCTCCCTTTTAACTACACTATTAGTAAATGATGGTTGAAAAATACTCAACTTTTTACACAAGAAAGATAGCAGTTCCACAAACGAAGGCAGAAGTTTAGTATTTTTTCCTTTGAGTAAGTTGTCACTGTAATCCTCAAACTGTTGTCAATTACTCAGTTTTTAATAGAAGCACTGCATGGTTGCACTTCTGAAATCATAAACAGGAAGTGTGATATATAAATGTCAGTAAAACTAAAACTCAATTCTATGGCTTGATGTTTTTCTTCCCTTCATATTTTTGTGTTAATGTCTGATTTTATGTGTACTTAGAATGACTACATGAAGACAAATAGTAGTATTACCTGATCAGTTTTCTTTGGCAACCTAACACTTTGGAATATGGGGCAAATATGTGGAATAACCTAAATGTTGTACACTTTCATGGAGGAGGAACTGGAAATGACTAGAAACTGAAGTTGATTTGGCATGGTTAGAAATTGCTTTAATGTACAGGTTGCCCAAATTTATTGTTGCTAGAAGACAATATAGATGAAGAAAGAAGCCAGAGAGTGATTGGCTTTTAATTTAGCTATTTGAAAATCCAGTATAGAAAACACGGTTACACCTTTGTACAGTCTTAATTCTGACACCTTGAATTCAAGTCATTCCTTGAATATGTTCCACTACATTAATTCCTTCATGAGACAACTAAGAAATAGCTTAAGTATTGCAAAAATCCAGAATATTACCTCTACTTATTCTCTATGATGAAATTAGGGGTCTTTTCTTAGTTAATAATATTTTCTACATAACACTATTTCAGTTTCTCTGCTACATGGAAATTTCTACAGAAATTCCAAGAAAAGATTCAAAGTGACCAGTCCCGAACTTTTATATTACATCACATATTTCTGGAGAAATGTTACCAACCTATAGATGCTCCTGTAGCTTTAAAATGTCTTTCTTTAGGAAACTGTTCCTTTTTAAAAAATTTGTTCTTAAACTGAACACTGAAGGAACAATTTTACTCAAAGTCACACAATGTATGAGTGAAGTAGCAAAAAACAGAACCTATGGATCTAAACTCCCTTTCAAGGCAGATCACATTGATCCAGAGAATAGACCTTAAAAGGCAGTAACCACCCATCTATTGAGTGTCTACCTTTCTGTAGCACAGGAGGCACTGTTGAGCAGCACATACAATATATAACATTTGAGGCATACTCTTTTAGTTGAAAATATAACATATATAGAAAAGATGTGGGAGTATATAAAAAGTAACATAATAAGAGTACATTAATTGAGTGAAAACTATAAATAATTGCGAAGGGGACGTGGAAAATGAAGTGATTTAAAACTAGATTGATAATGGATAGAAGTTTACTGGAGTAGGCAAACCTTATGTCAATTTTTTGTTTGTTTGAGGAAGATTAGCCCTGAGCGAACATCTGCCTCCAATCTTCCTCTTTTTGCTGAGGAAGATTGGCCCTCAGCTAACATCTGTGCCCATCTTCCTCTATTTTTTTATATGTGGGACGCCTGCCACAGCATGGCTTGATAAGCCGTGCATAGGACCACGCCCAGGACCCGAACCAGTGAACCCTGGGCTGCCGAAACAGAGCATGTGAACTTAATTGCCACTGGGCCAGCTGCTAGATTTTTTTTTTGTAAGCGGCAATGGATTTGGATTGCCAGAGAGAAAGGGTAATCATTCATTGATTCATCAAACACTTGTTGAGTACTTACTCTGTGCTATGTGCTAGGCACTATTTGAGGCACTGGAGATATAGCAATATACAAAACTACTGCAGAGCAGGAACAGGCAGGTCATCTCCCAGACATGATACTTTGATAGGAACGGAGAACACAAACATGAGAGTAGAGAGAAATGAAATAGAAAGGTAAAGAACTAGTGATGAGCTTATATGAGCGAAAGGCCTTAAATAATAGGATGTTTCTAAATGCGAGAAAGACCCTTGGTGTGAATTGAACTCCTTTCGTCACTACAATCAGAACAGACTACTTTCCCATCTCTGATGGTGGTCAGCGCTCCTAGCCTCCTAGATAACTTTATGACCAGAATAAGACAAACAAAATAAATACTGCACATATGAGGTATATGGAGAGCAAAAAGGGAAAGAGTGGCTAGCAAAAGTTGAATTTTATGTCTCCTTTTAGCTTTCCAATGGTTATTGCCATGTATTATCAGTCTCTTCCTGACAACAATTTCCCATTCAGTATCTAAGTTATGAGCCAATTCCTGAAGGTTCTGCTCTTCTCCTTTCCTTCCAGATAGAATCATTGAAAAGAAAGGAGATTCCATTTAAATTCCCTTTTCCTAGTCAATCAGGTTTTCCTTATTCACCCACCTTATTCACTTTTTTACAGGGTGTTTGATGAAAAATATTTTATATTTTGTATTGGCTAGTGGGGAAGGGGTAAAAGAGGATGGGGACTAGAGAGAAAACCAAGAGGCTGCAATGCAATGCAATGTAATGCGATATAATACAAGAGGCTACAAAACACCTTGACATTTAAGAGCTTGAATTAAACTGGCAGTTTTAAAAATGAAAAGGGGCATACCCGAAGTACATTATAAAGTAACAACTATAAGAAGTAACAAGTTTAGCAACTGTTTTCATATGGGAGGGAAAGAAAATAAGGAAATGAACCTAAGACTGTAAATTGGAAGATCCAAAAATTTGTGTTGTTAGTAACAATAGCCAAGAAATTTGGAAGAAATAGCTAGAAGGAAAAAAATGAACTTAATGCCAGATCTAAGTGGGATGTCACTAGAAAATAGAAGACTCAAGCTTTCTTGATAAGCTATTGGGCTGTTGATGTACATGTGAAAGTCATCATCATATAGAAATTGACTGAAACCCTATGGACTAATGAGGGAATGCAATGAAGATCGAGGGCTATGTATGAACTTTGATTGTAAGATGAGGTATCAATTTCAAAACAGTTTCTAAGGAGGTGCTCTAGCTTTGGAACACTTTCCTTCAGGTCAGACAAAGCTGTCCTTTATTAAACATTGTCTCTTCATTTTGGCTGACCCCTTAATGAGTGAGAATAACAAACTGAATGAATAAAATTGAAAGACTCAGTTTTTCTGGATTATCTCACTCAATGTTCTGAATTTTTAATTGAAGGTCCTCAAAAATTATGTCTTAAGATAAAACACAAAATAAATACCTACAACTTTTTTTAGACTGCAGTACTTTTGTATAAAGGCTATGGCTACAAAAAATATAGAATATAAAAGATACATTAACACATCATCCAAACTTTTTGCTCTTAAATATGGAGTTTGTTTTAATGTAAAACTGTCAGGGTCAACATGAATTTCCATCCCCAAAGCAAATCCTGGCTATGGGACTATGGAAATAGAAAACCACCTTTAAAGAAGGTTCAGTATTAGAATGTGCTATCTTACTTGTTTCTTTAAATAGGAATGGATCAAGTTTGATACTCCCTGAGCTAAGAGTTTTTGGAATCTGTGTGATACATTTTCTGTAAACAAGAGATTATATCATTAAATACTTTTAGCATTTCATCATTATAATCTAATATGGCTTTGGATTCCTACATGTATGTAGCAGTATCTTCATAGTAGCTGGCAATGGAACATTTATTGAGTACTTACTGTATGCTGGACACTGTGTTAAGTGCTCTGATATTTATTATCTCATTTAATATTCACAACTCTGTGAGGTAAGTATTACTAACCCATTTCACAGATGGGCAAAATTGAGGCCTAAGTTATATCATTAAGGGAACATAGCTGGCAAGTGGGCAGAGCTAGGATGTCAGATCTGTCTGATTCCAGTGCCAGTTTTCTTAACTAATACCCTATTGTGCCTCCAAAAGTCACCTAAAAGCAATTTTATTGTAAAAGTTTTATGTCTATTGAACTCTATCCAATAATGGAATAAATTTTTTTTAGCAATTTAGAAATGTTCCTGTGTTGTTGCTTACTCTCTTTACTTCAACAAAGAAAATCTGGGGGCCACTTTGACCACATATCAAACCATATCTTCCAGACTAGTAACCATAATTTAAAGCGCACACACACACACACACAGAGGAAAGGAAGATTTCGCGGAAAAGTAAAAGATTTCCTCAAGTTCAGTTTTAGGGCTATAGGATCACTTCTGTTTAATTCTACTTACAGAAGCGCACAGATAAATTATTGGCTTTAATATTAGCCTGAAAAGATCCTCCAAGGTCACACACTCAATTTCTTAGTTTCAGCAGACACTATGAATGTTAAAAATGGAATCGTGTCAAAAAAAGCAACAAATAAGTTTTGAGCTCTTAATTGCGTATTGGTGCTATGTATAATCTATACTCAACAAACATGCCAGACAACATACTGGGTGGTAAAAGTGGTGTGGGAGAAGTGAGTAACACAGTCTGAGCTTAGTTATCAGTAGTTATTATAGCATCTGTCAGTCTTGGTATTTAACCAGAAATCTAAATAGGGACAGTCTACTGTGGAAGATTGTATATTTGGGAGTAAAATAAATTTGAGTTTAAATTTTGACATTACTTACAAATTCTGTCATCTTCAAAAAGTTACTGCTTTGTGAGGCACAGTTTTCCCATTTTGTAAACTGGAAATAAAATTGTGTAGCTTAATGGATGCCATAAAGAGCTATTAAAACACCAGACTTCCCAGGTTCAAATTTCAGCTCCCCCCACTCAGAAGTTGTGTGACTTTTTGCCTCCATTTCCTCACCTGTAACATGAGGATAATTAGTAGTCCCTACCTCAAGGAGTTGTGAGGATTAAACACCTTGATAAATGTAAAGTGTAGATAACAGTGCCTGGCACAGAGAAAATGATGTATTTGCATATGCTATAATTCTTATTTAAAGCACCTACCCAGTTCTTACCCCTTAGTATGTTTCTAATAAATGTTAATTCCCTTTTATATTTCAATTGAAATTATTTTCCTTTACTTTTTTCTAGATACATTTTTAAAATGAATTTGTTAAGCTTTGTTAAACTTAATAAAGCCTTATTAAGGTATAACTGATATTCAATAAACTGTACATATTTAAGATATACAATTGATAACTTGTAACCTGTGTATTTAAAGTGTACAAGCGATATAAGTTTTAACATGTATATACTGATGAAACCATCACCAGAATAAGACAATGAACATATCCATCATCCCTAAGAATTTCTCCTGCCTCTTTATAATCCCTCTCTCCCCAGGCAACCACTGGTCTGCCTTGTGTCCCTAGAGATTAGTTTGTACTTTCTAGAATTTTATATCTGCAGAATCATATGATATATTCTCAACTTTTTGTCTTTCTTCACTTAGAATATTATTTTGAGATTCATCCATGTTGTTGTATGTAATAATAATTCATTCCCTTTTATTGCTGAGTAGTATTCCATTGTATGAATGAATTATTTATCCATTCACCTGTTGATGGACACTTGACTTGTTTCCAATTTTAGATTGTTAAAAATAAAGCTACTATGAGGATTCATATACAGATCTTTGTAGGAACATATGCTTCCTTTTTGGGGAGAAATACCTAGAATGGAATGGCTAGATCATATGTTGGTATATGTTTAACTTTTTAAGAAACTGCCAAACTGTTTTCCAAAGTGGTGGTATCATTTTACATTCCTACTAGGGGTGTATCAAGAGTTGTGATTCCTCCACATCCTCAACAACACTTTTCATTTTAGCTGTTCTAATCGATGTGTATACACTTTTTTTGTGTATGGATATCTAATTGTTCCATCATGGTTTTACTTTGCATTTCCCTAAAGATTAATGAGGTTAATAAAGTTGATCATCTTTCCATGTGCTTATTTGCTATCTGGTATCTTCTTGGTGAAGTGACTTTTCAAGTCTCTTGCTCATTTTTTAATTGAGATTTTCGTTTTCTCATTGTTGAGTTTTGAGAGTTCGTTACTGTATTCTTGATACAAATCTTTTATTACATGCTTTGCAAGTATTTCTCCCAGCCTGTGGCTTGTTTTTCTTTCGTTTAGCAATGTATTTTGAAGAAAAGAAGTTTTAAAAATTTTGATTAAGTCCAGTTTATCAATTTGTTCATTTATGGATTGTGCTTTTGGTGTTACATCTGAGAAATCTTTGTCTAACTCGGTGTCAAAAATTTTATGTTCTCTTCTAGAAGTTTTATAGTAATTTTAGATTTTACATTTAGGTATATGATCAATTTTTAGTTAATTTTTGTACACAGTGTAAGATGTGAATCGAAATTCATACTTTTGTACATGGATATCCAGTTCTTCCAGCACCATGTATTGGAAAAAACAATTTTATTTTTACCTTTGCACTTTGTCAAAAACCTTATATATATGGATCTATTTCTGGACTCTGTATTCTGTTGCATTGACCTATTTGTCTATTTTTATGCTAATACCACTGTTTTAAATACTGTAGATTTATAATGGCCTGAAATCAGGTAGTGTCAGCCCTCCAACTTTGCTCTTTTTGTTGAAGTTAATTGTTTTGGCTATTCTAGAGCTTTTGCATTTCTATATAAATTTTAGAATCAGCTTATCAATTTCTTTTTTGAAAAAAAGCCTACTGGGATTTTGATTTGGATTGTGTTGAACCTATGGATCAATTTGGGGAGAAGTGACATCTTAACAATATGAACCCAAGAGCCAGGTAAATCTCTCCAGTTATTTAAGTTGTCTTTAATTCTTCTCAGCAATATTTGCAGTTTTCAGTGTACAGATCTTTTATCAGATTTATTCTTAAGTGTTTCATATTTTTTATGCCATTGTAAATGCTACTTTTTTTTGCATTTCCACTTTCAACTGTTTGTTGCTAGAATGTAGAAACACAAATGATTCTTGTATATTGATCTTATATGCTGCACTCTTGCTAAACTCACTTATTAGTTCTAGTAGCTTTTTGTAGCTTCCACCAAGTGAAAGATGGATGATTATGTCCGTTTTATTTCTTCCTTTCCAATCTGAATGTGTTTTATTTCTTTTCTTGCCTGATTGCACTGGTCAGAACCTCCAACGTTGAAGAAAAGTGGTAAGAGCAGACATCTTTGTGTTGTTCCTGATCTCAGGGGGAAAGCATGACATGTTTCACCAGTAGTTATTAGGTTATCTGTAGATTTTTTTGTAGATGCCCTTTGCCCTTTTTCTGGTTGAAGAAGTACTCTTCTATTCCTAATTTGCTGAGAGTTTTTAACATCAGGAATGAATACTTGTTTTGTCTGTTTTTTCTGCATCTATTGAAATAATCAGTTTTTCTTTTTTAAAAAGTTTAATACAGTGAGTTACATTGATTGATTTTTGAAAGTTAAACTAATCCTGTATTTTGGGGATAAACCCACACAATAATAATATTATCCTTCTTATATATGGTTGGATTTGATAAAAATTTTTTTAGAATTTTTACATCTATGTTCATAAGGGAAACTGGCCTGATATTTCTTTTCTTGTAATGTCTTTGCGTGGTTTGGGTATCAGGGTAATGCTGGCCTCAAAGAACAGGTTGGGAAGTATTACCCCTTTTCACTTTTCTGGAAGAGTTTGTCTATAACTGGTATTTTTCCCCTAAATATTTGGAAGAATTCACCAATGAAGCCTTATGGACCAGAAGTTTTCTTTGTGGGAATGTTTTAAACTACTAATTCAGTTTTTTGAAAATGGATATATGACCATTCAGGTTATCTATTCTTCTTGAGCAAGCTTTTGTACTTTATGTCTTTCAAGGAATTTGGCTATTTCATCTAAGTTGTTGAATGATTTTTGCCTGAAGTTGTTTATAATATTCCCTTATTATCCTTTAAATATCTGTAGAACTTGTAATAATGTCACCTCTCTCAAGCCTGACATCGGTCTTCCTGATATGTGTCTCATCTCTCACGTTTTTCTCCGTGACCAGTCTGGCTAAAGGTTTATTAATTTTACTGATCTCAACCAGGTTTTGATTACATAGATATTCTCAATTGATTTTTGTTTTCCATTTCATTGATTTCCACTTTGATCTTTATTATTTTATTTCTTTTGCTTCTTTGTGTTTAATTTGCTCTTCTTTTCTAGTTTTTTAAGGTGGAAGTTGAGTTCATTGATTTGAGACTTTCTGTATTTTCTAATGGAGGCATTTCATTTATGTAAAATTTGATATGTTGTATTTTTATTTTCCTGCAGTTCAAAAAACTTTCTAATTTCACTTTTGATTCCTTCTTTAATCAATGGGCTGTATAGAAGCATGTTATTTTGTTTCCAAATATTTGGGGATTTTCCACTTAGCTCTCTGTTATTGATTTCTAATATAATCTCATTGTGGTCAGAGAACATACTTTGTATGACTTGAATCCTTTAAAATGTACTGATATGTTTTATGGTCTAAAACAGAGGTAGGCAAACTTTTTCTATAAAGGGCCAGATGGTAAATATTTTAAGCTTTATGTGCCACATACAGTCTCTATCACAAATTTCTTTGTTTTTTTAGAAACTTTTCAAAATGTGAAAACCATTCTTAGTTCATAAGCCACACAAAAGCAGGCTAGATTTGGCCCCAGGGTCATAGTTTGCTAACCCATGGCCTAGGATATGGTCTCTGGGTAAATGTTTCATGTACACTTTAAAGAGAATATATATTCTACTATTCGTGGAGTGTTCCAGAAAAGTCAATTAGGTAATATTGGTGGATAGTGTTGAGTTTACTATATCCTTGCTAAGTTTCAAATTGTTCTAGCAATTATTGAAGGAGAGGTATTGAAATCTCAACTATAATCACAAATTTGTCTATTTCTCCTCGTAGTTCTACCAGTTTTTGCTTCACATATCTTAACCTCTTCTTATTTGGGGCATGAACATTTAGGATTGTTATATCCTCCTGATTAACTGGCCCTTTTATTATTGTGAAATGACCTTCCTTATCCCTGGTAATATTCTTCGCTCTGAAATCTTATTCTTTTTTTGTTTGTTTTTTAAAGATTGGCACCTGAGCTAACATCTGTTGTCAATCTTTATTTTTCTTTTTTTCTTCTTCTCCCCAAAGCCCCCCCAGTACATAGTTGTATATTCTAGTTGTGAGTGCCTCTGGTTACGCTATTTGGGATGATGCCTCAGTATGGCCTGATGAGTGGTGCCATGACTGCACCCAGGATCTGAACCGGCAAAACCCTGGGCCACCGAAGCAGCCCGCGCGAACTTTAACCACTTGGCCACGGGCTGGACCCTTACTTCATTTCTACTATGTTAATATAGCCACACCAGTTTTCTTTTGACTAGTGTCAGCATCAGCATGATATATCTTTTTCTATCCTTTGATTCTAACTTTCTTCTGTTTTTGTATGTAAAGCATGTTGGGTCTTGCTTTCTATGCAATCTCGCAATCTCCTCCTTTGAATAGGATTTTTATCATTTACAATTAATGTGATTATTGATGAAATTAGTCTATCATCTTGCTATTTTCTGTTTGTTCCATTTGTTCCATGTATTCCATCTATTCATTGTTCCTTTTTCTGCCTTCTTTTGGATGGAGTTTTTATGATTCCATTTTTTTTCCTTTGTTGGCTTATTAGATACAACTGTTTTGTTATTCTACTAGTTGCTTTAGGGTTTATAGTCTACATAATTAACTTAGCACAGTCTACCTTCAAGTGATATTACACCACTTCACGTATACCAAAAAAATCCTACAACATCATGCTTCTGTTTTTCCCCTCCCGGCCTTTATGTTATTGTTGTCATATATTTTACTTATACATATTGTAAATACCACAATACATTATTTTTCAAGTTGATTACCTTAAAAGAGAATTAAATAGAAAAAAAATCTTACACATTTACCCATGTAGTTACCTTTTCCAGGGCTCATCATTCCTTTGTGTAGATCTGTATTTCCAAATGGTATCATTTCCCTTCTGTCTGAAGCTCTTTCTTCAACATTTCTTGTAGTGTATTCTGTTGGCAATGATACTGAATTTTCACTCTGTGACACTCTCAGGTTCAAAGTGGGTAAGCATCAATTAATCTACTCCCTGCCATACACTACTATAAATAGCCTTGGCTAAACTGTAGAAGAGAAAACTGAAAAGGAACATATTATACAATCATGAAACAGCCTAGAACCTTGCCTCTAAAAGTCCAGCTTAGGGCAAGAGAAATTTGTGCTATGCCACGGTGTTAAAAGGCACTGAATAAACACGAAGCATCTTCTTAGATATCAATTCTACTCAGATATTTTGAAAAAGTTTATAAGCATTATATTCATACTAAACATAGGACTATTATGATATATAATGCAACATTTATATTAAATGTAAGACAAAACATGAAACTAAAGAAAATCCTAGCTTGGAACCAAGCTTCTAGGGCAATTATTCATTCTTCTCTGCTATTATCCACACTTTTGTGAAAGTTTGAGGAGCAGTAACCTTGATGATTATTCATGATTTATTAAAACCTCTGCTAAAATTGGATGCTGTCAACAAATATAGATTATTCATAGAGGTTTCTATTTAATTTGAAATGTATTTCTGAATTGACCACTATGTCCTGTTATTTAGTTCATGAATCATTTTTTTACTGTGCTCATGAAAAGTGTACTTGATTCCAAGTTTTTAAAACACCTATCATTATTCCCGTGAAGAAGGACTTTTACTTACCAGTTCTCACTTTTGTGGCTGCTGGTAGGCCTGCATCAATGAGTACCTGCAACACTGTCCAATTTTCTGATTCCAATCCGGGATAGAATAAGAATGCACATAAATAAGCCTGTTAGAAATAGGCCTAAAATAAAAATAAACAGGCTCACTATGAAGACCCTACCAAAAAATCCACTTCTAAGACTATATCCTAAGGAAAAAAATAAGCCAAAAATTTAACTTGCTTACTAAAATCTAATCTATTAGATTTTTCCTATTACCAGTAGAAAAAAATTGGTTAGAATCAGTGATTACTGATTACTAATACTAATACTGATTACTAATACCCCCAAATAAGAAACTGCTAAAATTAACAGTACATCCTTATATTCTATAATAGAATACTTATTCAGCCATTAAAGTATATTATATAGCTGAATACTTATTTCTAGGAAATATATATATATATGAACAGATATGAAAATTTAATAATGGAGTTAGTGGTTATTTGTGGGTGTAGGATTATTAATTTTTTTCTACATCTTTCTCATTTGTATCTTCTTTAGTATCAATTGCCTGTAATAAGAAAAACCCAACATTCTTAGAAATACTTATTCAACATGAATACTTATTCAAAATAATGAGCTCATCATTTGTTTATTCATTAATTCAAGAAATATTTACAGCATTAAGACATAACTCTTAATTTGTGAGAAAAAAAAGGGGGGGCATGATCAACAATCTTGGAAATTTTTTATTCCTCTCTTTCATTCTCAATACTTATTTGCCCAGTCATTCCCTCCCTTATTTACTGAGGACTTTGGCACTTGGTTCTAATATCTACCTCCCCTGCATTTTCTGCCATCGTGTGCCACTTCAGTGTCCTTATGGACAACCCATCCGACAATCTTGAACTCTGACTCCACCAGCTTATAACCACTGCATTCTGCAGTCCACACCCAAAGCCACATTCTCAACCTTCTGAGCACCAGGAAATTAATTGTTCCACAGCCTTAGACTCCAATATACTGATCTCTGACCACAACCACTTACCATTCCAGTTTTTATCACTCCATTACTCCCTAAACACCTGCTTTCTTACCTTATTTTAACCTCCACTCCTCAACTATTCCCTTTTGTTTTCAAACCACAATCTCCCACACAGCTTCATATCTTTTCCTATCCAGCCTAGATTCCTAGGTGCATCAGTCTCTCCTGCTAATAACCATGCTCCCTGGATAATTCCCTCTTCCTTAGAGCATATATTTTATAACATCTTACATCAATTCAAACTTGCTATTTCACCTATACCCTTATCTTTTTTATGTCTCCTTTATCAGCAAAAAAAATCAATACTATCAGCCATGAACCTCCCTCACCTTCTTGCTCCACATTTACACGTTATACATATAACTATCTTCACTTCCTTCCTTCTAATCTCAGAGGAAGAAGTATCCTTTCTCTTTTCCCAGGTCAATCCTCTACCTGCACCTTTCCTCCTACATTGCTTCCTCTCCTAGAGATCTTGCTTTACTTTTATCCCTCCTCTTTTTAATCTCCTCTCTGCTCACTCTTTCCCACATTTTATAAATATATTAAACTCTTCACTGTAGAATCTCCTCCTCGATTCTGTAACCACCTCCTCACAACTATCATCCTTTATTTCTATTTTGAAGAAGAAATGAAGAGCTTTGAAATAATATAAATCTATTGTAACCTTTCTCAATTTTAATATACTTTTCACCCCAACACAAACAAAATTCTGCCACCTCAATGCAATGAAAGTGTTCTGGCAAACATTACTAATTACAAAATTGCCAAATGCCATGATCTTTTTCAATTTATTTGACCTGTCTTTATCTTGACACTCCTGACTTCTTTCCTTCTGAATCCTCCGTCCCATTGGCTGCTATTTCTTCTCAGTTCTTTTGCTGCCTCCTCTTACTTTGCCTATTTACTAATGTTGGTTCTCATTTCCTCTCACTATATTCAGTCTGTATGAGCAATAGCATCCATTTCCTCCATAATTTCAACTATCACCTCTTTAGTGATATCTCCTTCCAGCCCAGGCCTTTCTAAGCCTCAGACATATATGTTGTGCTCCCTACCGAACATCTCTACAAAGCTATCCCATTGGCACTTAATCTTCCATATTCAGTATGTCCTCATTGGGCGTCTCATCTTCCTCCCCTTTTCCAGTTTTTCCATCCCACACCCTTAGACACACAAACACACACACCCAAAAGCCCTATTCTTCCTCCGTATGTCTCTATCCTGGTTAATTATACTACTATTGTATTCTACAAGCAAGTAAGGGACTAAAGAGTCATTCTAGACAGAGCCTTCCTTTGTCAACTGGGAAGAAGGAAGAAAGTGGTATATTGTTAAGGGGACTTCAGAAGCAATGCCTTCCAATCATTCCTTATTTTTTTTCTATTTTCTTTAATGCACGTGTGTTTTATAATTAGGGAGAAATGTTCAAAAGTGAGTCCACAGGTCTAGTTTGAAGGACAAATAAAAGTTATGTATCTTACATTGAATGACTTAGAAGCAGCTTTGAACTTTATCATAATTAACTGTATGTCCTAACAGTTTTTACATCTAAAGGATTAAACTCTTTAGGAATTTCAATTCCTATAAAAGGAAAGGAAATTTGAGTATAAATAAGGGTAGATGGGGGGATCATTAGATTTAGCCATATGGTACAAGAATTTCTTGTCAGGAAAAGGTTTGGTACATACCATACTATGTTAGTAGTTTTGCAGTTTATTAAAAGTATTGCAGTTAGAGTCACATCAGCTTTGGAATGTTTTGCCAATGGCATAAACATCTAATTGTAAAAAAATACCATGCTTATAAAAATGCATCCTCCCAAAGAAGAAAAAAGTTCTTTGATTAAGTATGTATGATACTTCCCTACATGGAAAGCTGAATGAATTTAATCTGTTTCACATCAAACCTCTTATTTTCCTTTAAGAGTTTCTTTAAAATTAGGTATATGGTCTGTATATACCATCCTGAGTTCACTGGGTCAAAAGTTAACAGTATGGGGTCATCAAGTAAATTAAATGTTAACAGCAAAAATTAAAGGACTTAAATTAAAAACATAGGGCCTAATCCTATGATGAAGAAAAGTCAGGAAAAAGTGTTCCCACAAGAGCTGTAAACTGTTCACCTATTTAAAATAAATTACTTCTTCAGAGCTGCCTTAAAAAGTTAATTTGTTTTAAACACATAAGCATTTCTTTGCCAAAAGAGAATGTGCTGTATTTTATTTTCCTTATTTCCCTATAGATTTGTTCTACAAGAAATAATTTTTATATATTAAGAATAGAAATGTAACATGAGGCTCAGCTGTCATAGAGAACTGGTCACACATCCTCACTCATATCTCCTAGAGACCAGAGGGTCTCAATTTTACTTCCGTTTACTAAAAATAAATAAGAAATGAAGGTTAATAGATTCCTGCTTCCTGGTCCTCTTCAATTTCCAGGACAAAGCTTATCCCAAGTCTCTGAGAAAGTCATGAGTTGTAATTTTTAAAAGTTTTTTTACTCAAGGTAAAGTTTATTTTATTCAAACCCTTCAATTTTCTGTTTTTTTTTTTCTTCTTCTTCTTCTCCCCAAATCCCCCCCAGTACATACTTGCATATTTTTTCACTTGTGGGTCCTTCTAGTTGTGGTATGTGGGACACTGCCTCAGCATGACCCAACGAGCGGTGCCATGTCCCCACCCAGGATCCGAACCGGTGAAACGCCGGGGCCACCAAAGCGGAGCCCATGAACCCAACTACTAGGCCACAGGGGCCAGCCCTGACAGGATTTTATAGTTGTTTTTTAATGTATCAGTTAGCTACAGGGAAAAGAAATTATCAAAGTTACTAGACAAAACAAAGATAATGTCAAGCCATGCTGTGGCAGCATCTCACATAAAATAAAGGAGGATTGGCACAGATGTTAGCTCAGTGACAGTCTTCCTCAAGCAAAACAGGACGATTGGTAACAGATGTTAGCTCAGGGCCAATCTTCCTCAAATAAATAAATAAAAATAAAAAGAGAATGTGGATGGGTGAATTTGTGGGGAGAAACTCATCATGTTCCTACCAAGAAGTTTCAGTAATGTAGTATAGGCTTATTATGATTTCAGTAGTACACTAGATGCTGTATCTAATTAAACAGTTGTCCATCTTGAGGTCTGACACTTCACAGACCTAAAAAAAATAAAAAAGTACTTTTTATGAATTTGTTAAACAAAAAAGGTAAAGAAAATACCTAGATTTGGTATTTTTACCAATAATTACATGTGTATATACAAATATATACACTTAACGTGATTATGTTTACTTTGAAATTTTCATGTAAATATTAAATTTGAAAAAGTGAAGACTCATAGTAGAAAATAAATAGCTATGGATATATGACACAGATTAGAAACATTTTCAAACTAGCTGTATTAAACCTTGTCCTTTTTGCCTTTATTACAATTCTTCTAGTTTACTAGTTACAATATTCCTGGAAGGGAAAAAAATCCTAAGCATAGCTATTTATAGCACAATGTTTTAAATATAGGATAATAAACAAATACAAAACAGTCCTAAAACAGAATACCTTTCATAGTAGATACTCAGTAAACATCAATTTATTTCAATTAGAAAACAGCCTTCACATTCAATACAGAACAAATATTTACCGTTTTATATTCTTTACAATTTTAATACACACATTATAAGAATACACAGAACATAATACAGTAAAACAAGTAATTCTTAAATTTGTTCAGGTAGCAGAGCAATTGGTGATCCTGTCTCTCTTTGCTGAGTACTGTTCATTCCCATTAAATATTTATCAATGCCAGTAACTGTGCTGAAGACACAGTACAAGGACATAGTCCTGGCCATTATGAAACTCTCAAGACGAGGAACCATATCTCTATATATGTATGTACGCATATACACTACCACAGCCACACATCAACACACATACAAAATGGCTGTTTAAATATATTACTTTTCTGCCGCTACTATAACAAATTACCATAAACTTACTGGCTTAAAACAATAGAAATTTATTATCTTACAGTTCTGGAGGTTAGAATGGGTCTCAATAGACTAAAATCAAGTAGGCAGAGAGACATTCCTTTCTAGAATCTGTTCTCTTGCTTATTCCAGCTTCTGGAAGCTGCCCTCGGTTCTGGCTTGGCTCATGGCCCCCTTCATCTTCAAAGCCAGCAATAGCTGCTTGAGTCTTTCTCACACCTCATCTCTCTGACACTTATTTTTTTGCTTCCCTCTTCCACATTCAGAAGAACTTCATAATTAAATTGGGCCTACGCAGATAATCCAGGATAATCTATCTTTAGGTTATCTGAATAGCACTCTTAATTCTATCTGCAACCTAAATACCCCCTTGTCGTGTAACATAACGTAGTCACAATTCTGAGGGTTAGGATATGGGCATCTTTGGGAGTATCATTACTCTGCCTACTATATTTATAAATAGTTTCTCCTCTGTTTTTCTTCAGGAACTCCACCAACCATCATCCATCTCTGAAATTATATGCAAACTGTTCATGTATGCACATGCTTCTAGACAAAGGGCCTATAACTTTCAACAAATTCTCAACATTTCACAATCACTGGACTAGCTCATAGAACACCAGTGTTCCTTAGAAGTATAGTTTGGCAGTGTCAACAAAATATATATTTTTAACTTTGACCAGAAAACTTTGATATGGGTTGAAAATTCTTTCTTGTATTTTTTCTGTTTTTAGAAGTAGTTCTAATCATCCTAATTACACTTTACATTTTGCACTTAAAACATTTTCCATGTTGCTATGCACGATTCTCTGATGATGCTAATAGTAAATCCAGTGGATTTTCCACAATCTACTCAATAATCTTACTACTATTAGACATTTCATCTCCCCCTTTTTTGCTATTATATTTAATATGCTGGAATGAGCATCTTTCTGCATAGATCTTTTTCCATATTTTGGATTTACTTCACCTAGACTAGGTTCCTGAAATTGGAATTTGTGACAGGAAAGATATGAATATTTTTATAACCCTTTTTAAATATTGCTAAATTACTTTCCAAAAGAGCTGTTTTAATTTACATTTACTCACTCAGACCATCAACATGAGAAGGGTTTCCCTTTGTGCACTGAAAAGATTATTCAGAGGTCATTTAAATTTTTATCAAAATTAAGAAGTAAAAAACTTAGCTCTTCCTTAACTTTTAAATTCAACTTGAAAATCTGGTTATACTTGTTAAATTTTTTTTTTCTCTCCCCAAAGCCCCAGTACATAGTTGTATATTTTAGTTATAAGTCCTTCTGGTTCTTTTATGTGAGCTGCTGCCACAGCATGGCTACTGATAGATGAGTAGTGTGGTTCCATGCCCAGGAACCAGACCTGGGCAGCCAAAGTAGAGTGCGCCAAACTTTAACTGCTACGCCATCAGGGTTGGCTCTAGTTTTTGTAAATTTTAACAGCAATCACTTTTAAGAGGGCTTTTTAAGGTCCTTTAAACACTTAGTATTTAGAATTTCATAACTTCTATTTCCTTAAGTACTTAATGTTTGATTAATAAACAAAACCTCTCTGAGTAAACTCTTTTAAATCTAATAAATTAAACCTATAAATACAGAGAATCTTAAGTTCTTTTAAATGTCTTGATACCTTGCATAACCATAGTTAAATTCTCTTATACCTATTTCAAGATTAATCTCATATATACTCTAATAGGTCTAATTTTCTTAAATACTACAAGAACTTAAAATACTTAGGTCATTCCTAAGCCATAATAGTATGTGCTTGATTTACTAAATCATACTACATGTAATTTTATATCTTCCTGGGGTTAAAACTGTGACCCACTGGGAGAAACTGTGTCATCTCAAGCAAGTTATGGTTGCCATCCCAAGCACTGAAGTTAATTATCAGAGCCCCCCAAAAGGAGTGATCTTACAGACATATCTCCCAGATTCAAATTACACATAACCTAATTCTTCCATCTACCACCAAGATTGTAGCTAACTTTCATCACCACTTAGTTCATTTTGTGTATCTTTGGATACCTTAGGGTCATCCAATTGGATTCACCATATCTTTCAAGTTCTATGACTATAGTCACAATGCTAAAGTCATGCTAATTAATGGGATCTCATGTTTTATGGAACAAGAAAAGCAAATGCTTTAAAAAATAGATTTGTAAGAATTGTGTGGCCAATCAGTCTGATAAAGACAGACCAGTCTTTTAACAATACATGTCCTCAACTGTTGATTTAAAAAAATAATTCAGGGGGCCAGCCCGGTGGTGTAGTGGTTAAGTTCATGTGCTCTGCTTCAGTGGCCCAGGGTTTGGCAGTTCAGATTCTGGACATGGACTTACTCACTGCTCATCAAGCCATGCTGTAGTGGCATCCCATATACAAAGTAGAGGAAGACTGGCACAGATGCTAGCTCAGGGACAATCTTCCTCAAGCAAAAAGAGGAAGATTGTCAACAGATGTTAGCTCAGGGCCAATTTCCTCACCCAAAAAATAAATAAATAAATAATTCAGTAACAATGAGAGAGGATGGTGAAAACTTACATATCTCTTCTTTACATTTACTTTGATGTTGTGCCTTTTCAAATATTTGTTAGTTTTGTATTTGTTTTTCTTCTTTTGTTAACTGTATATCTGTTAACTATTCTATTTTCCTTATAAACATGTCTTTATATATTGATATGTAAATATATATATGGAAACATATATATCTATATATAATCTCTTTATATATAGATATATATCTCTTTATCTGCTTTAATGTTAAAAATATTTTTCAGTTTGTCATGTATCTTTACAATTTAGAGTGGAATTTTCCCTGTGTATACATTTTTTGTGTAGCTACCAAACAGTGTTCTCCAAGATTCTGTGTTAGACCTTTTTATCACTCTACATACCTCCCTCAGTGATCTCATCTAATCCCATAGTTTAAACTACCATCTATAATAGGTCAACTAGTAAATCTATAGACAACAAGCAAACCAGACCTTTCCTCTACATTCCAGACTTCTAAATCAAAAATCCAATCCTAATATCCAATTAGCTTTATTTTTTTTTTAAAGATTTTATTTTTTCCCTTTTTCTCCCCAAAGCCCCCCAGTACATAGTTGCATATTCTTTGTTGTGGGTCGTTCTAGTTGTGGCATGTGGGATGCCGCCTCAGCGTGTCCTGACGAGCAGTGCCATGTCCACACCCAGGATTCGAAGCAACAAAACACTGGGCCGCCTGCAGCAGAGCACACGAACTTAACCACTCAGCCACGGGGCCAGCCCCTCCAATTAGCTTTAAAGTGAGGATGGGAGGATGTACTTAGCCCATAGGCATCTCAAAATCAACATTGCACATATCAAAATTCATCAAACTTGTTCTGTTTTCCCTATCTCAGAAAATGGTACCAACAGCCACTCAGTTGCCCACACCAGAAACCTAGGAGTCATGCTACATACCTCCTTCTCTCTCCTCTCCATATACAAAGGCTCCTAACCTCTTTAGTTTTACCTTTCAACTTTCTCCATCCTTACTTACTCTGCTCTAGCCATGTGGGAATTGAATTTACTGGTCCCTCCTGCTCAGGACATTAACATATGCTCTTCCTTTGCCTAGAATGTTCTTCCTTTCTTTTTGGCCTAGCTAATTCCTAAACCTCAGCTTAACTGTCACACCTTAGGAAGGCTTTACGTAAATCCCTACTGTTAGGTCCCCATGGTGTATGCTTTCATGGCATCCTTTATTTTTCTGTTATAGTAATTATCATAGTTGTAACTTGTAGATTAATAATTTAATCTTTGTTTCTCTCACTAACTACACTCTAAAGGGAGGAACAGTGGCTGTTCGTTCACCCCTATATGCTCAGTACCTTGCACATGACACAGAGTAGGTGCTAAATAGTTACCAGGGAATACTTACATATTAATACAGAATAAATAAATCCAATCTCTGTTATACTTCATTTCACCCCATTTCTACGTCTTTAGTTCAAGTACTCTCTATTTCTTGCCTGGATACTACAATAGCCTCTGAAGGACGCTCTACCACCGCTCTTGCATTTTCTAATCTGTTCTCCAGTACCCTTGTTAAAGTGAAGTTCTAAAATATAAATCTGATCATATTACTCATTAGGTTAAGATTTTTCAATTGCATCAATTTAAAGGTGACATGAC